GGCTGTAAGCACATTAGCTGTAGATCGGGCAAAGCGGAAGCCATATTGCTTGTCTGTGAGCAGATCATAGGATGTAAGGTGGTTAACCACTTCGGCGTTGATTAGGGCTTCGAAGACTTTGCCTAAGAGGGGTAGGAGACTAATAGGACGGTAATTAGAAGGGTCAGAAGGATCGCTAGAGTTCTTAAACACAGGAACAATCGATGAAGACTTCCAGCAGTCAGGAAAAACAAGATTCCTTGAGGCAGTACTTATATAGCTTAGAGAGGGCGTGCGCCAGTTCAGGTGCGCATTTCTTCAAGACAATGGTTGGTATCCTATCCCCACCACTAGCCTTGTTGGGGTCTAAATTGGAGATAATGCCCAATACCAAAGACGGCGTTATGTGTAACCTACTCAATAATGCCTCTGTTCTAAGAGGGAAGTCGTGTATGTGTACACCGGAAGAGTTAAGCGTTGAGTTGAATGAAAATTTCTGAGCAAAGCATTCAGCCTTGTCGGCAGAGGAGGTCAGGACCTCGAACTGGTTGAACAAAGAAGGTATAGAAGAAGGTATCCAATAATCTTTGGAGCCAAATTTGCGAGATGCAATACGCTCCTTCATCCGAGCAGCAAATGGTGACTTAGCATCGTTGAGGACACGCTTACACTCGTTACGGGCGGAGGCAAAGAGACGTCTATTGCAGTCCGACATGTCGCTACGAAATAGGTGAAAGAAGTGGTTCCTATGGGCAGTGGCGGCTGAGCAAGCAGCGGAGAACCAAGGGGAGGATCGCGACATGACCCTATATTTCCTTGAGGTGATGAAAGCGTGGATTCCAGCTTTAACCCAGGATGGGACCTTAGAAGCACATTCTTGGACGGGGAGCGTAAAGACAACATCCCAACGGACATCGCGGAGGAAATCACGGAACGAGTCCCAGTCAGCTCGTTGATAGTAGAACGAAGTTCTAGTGGTAGGAGGTTCTTTGCAGGGGGTGGAGTTGAAGGAGATGTTAACAGATACTACAGCATGATCGGAGTTACCAAGAGGGCAGAGTTGCGTGGCGCTACGACTCTGGGATGGAGGTAAAACACAGATCGAGAAGAGAGGCTTTACCTACCCGGTTGTAGGCAAAACGAGTGGGGAAGTTAACTATCTGCGTAAGGGATTGAGAAACTGAAAAATTAAGTGTTTGAATACCCGCGTGGTCAGTAGTAGCATTTTTAAACCACTTGGTATGATGGGCGTTAATTCGCCAAGCACAAATATGTGAGCAAACGGATGGACGAGTAGGGCCTTGTCAGAAATGCTATCGAGTATCCCACAGTCTTGAGAGGATGGAGAGCGATAAAGGAAGAAGAGATAGCTTACAGCATTGAGAAGAGATAGTCGGAGACACATGTACGACTGGTCCGGCGATTACTTTTTCGGTCTTTTTAAGTCATCATGTGGAATTATGGTTGGAAGATGGGAAGGCCTGAAGTAAAAGAAGCAGACGGTTATCAAGCGTAACATGGGCAGAGACGAGTTGGCACAGCCTGCATCATAATGTGGCCTCAGATTTGCCCACCGGAGGTGACTGCAGGGACACCTTTCCATGCGCGACATGGCACAACAAACACCCCAGTATTATACAACTGTTGATCAGAGCGGCCGCTCAAGACGCTACGCAAGAGTTAGGGCTCCTAACTGACAGTCGGAAACAGCAGCCAGTGAACTGTCAACCGTGTACACTCAAGATGAAGATGTAATGTCACAGACTGCACACATCATAGGAGAAACACATCAGCACTAGCACAAAGGCAAGAGAAGAGAGAGAGAGAGAGAGAGAGAGAGAGAGAGAGAGAGAGTACCGGCAAACCCTTCCTAAACAAGAAAAAAGGTGTGAGCCTCTACTCATATCCAAGAGAAGGGAGAGGAGTGTGTATATATATATATATATATATGAATAAAAATGCTGTAACCTAGGGAAGGTTACTGAATAGAATAATCACACAAAGCTTGGTAAAGAACGATAATACAAACAACGCATATTCGCCAGTGGCGCGTAGTAGCCAACTGCTAGATGTGAATTCCACAATGAATCTCCAACTGCGTCACATGTGGCACAAGGATATCTACAAAGTGCCCCACGCGGTCAGATGTTGCACAAGGCCGAATTTAATGACGATTATCCGAGCCCGTAGTCTCTGCCAAAATTTCCCGTATAAAATGGGGTTGGGTAGCTCTTTCGCGAGACGAGACTCTGCCCTTCGACATAACCTTGTCGGGGGATCATCTCTGCTTGGAGGCAGAGAGTTTGACCAGCACTGCTGGACACGAAATTCCAACTACAGGATATCTATCAACCGTCCCATGCGTCAGATGTGGCATACCGCCGAATTTAATATGGAGTATTCGAGCCCGTAGGCTCGGCCAAAAATACCCCGAAAAACCTGTATAAAACGATCCGGGTAGCTGTTTCAAAAGACGATATTCTGTCCTTCGACATAACTTCGTCTGGGAATCCTCTCCGTCCAAAGGCAGTGAATTTGAGCAGCACAGCTGGAGATGAATCTCCGACTGAAGACCAACATAGTGTTTATTACTGTATTAGGTGAATAACCGTTACCATCCGTAGGTATGCTGCAACAAAAATCAATAGGAAATCATATCTTAGACGAGATGTTTTCTCTTCTGAAGGAATTTATCAAAAGTATGAAGATTTTATTTTGCAGCAAATATTTATAAACAAAAGTAAAAATGTTGTAAGGTTTTCGAAGATTTAGATTTAAGAGACGCTCATAAATTTTCATCAGGTTGACTGAAAAGTCGAGTTAAATAATGGAGGATGCTAAGTGATGTAATTTTATGTGTAATGAACGAAACTGAGTAAATGTTTTAATATGAGATAAATTTATGCGTCATATATTTTTTTAAATAACAGTAGTTTATGACTTTAACCGTTTGCTTTTAATTTTTAAATATTTTTATAGTTATGTATATTGGTAAAAGTCTGTCAGGCAATGTCGACTAAGATAAGTTTTTTTGTCTTTATGCATATTGTCCTTTTACAACTATATTATAGTTAAGCCTGAATTATATATATATATATATATATATATATATATATATATATATATATATATATATGTATGTGTGTGTGTGTGTGTGTGTGTGTGATCGTAGGCAAATGTATTCCATCTCTTGGTTAACAATTTTTGAAATATTTCCGGTTTGACAAGAGTGGCGTTGATTAGTAACATCTACCTCTGTTAACATGAATAAAACTGTTGAAAACGGGAATTAATAATAAATAAGAGAAAATTCATATTGATTTATTTTTTTATAATTAGCAATATTTTATTATAAGGAATAATTCATATATATTTTCTCCGCTAAACTCTTAATTAACTGAAAATCCTTTGGCCTTGATCACTGAGAATAATATTTTCTACAACTTAAGAAATATTTTCTGCAACTCTCGATTGGCATTTCAACCATTTTCTCTGTAGAATCGTTTCAAATAGTTCAGATTCGATGACATCCATTCATGAACATTTAATTATTTCTACAGATGTTAACTTATATTTAAGCCAGGTCAATGAGAAGACCATTCCTTTAACCAAGCCTTGTTTTTCTTGAACGATTTTTAGATTTTTACGGCGTATGGTTTGGGTCGTTGTCTTATTGCAAGATTAATTCTTCACTATGTTTAATATGGAGGACTTTTAAAAAATCTCTATGTTTCTCAAGAATGAACTGATAATTAACCGAATTTCCCAGTAAAAGCTGCGTAAATCAACTTGGAAGATGAAGTTGCCCACATTCATCTTTTTCGCCAAATGTATTGTTTCTGCTTTGATATAAATGTAAAATATTTGTTGTATTTGACCAAATAACTGCATTCCAATGAGCATTTAACTCATCCTTAAAAGATTAACGAAGACTAAACTGCACTGAATATAATTATCAGTTCAATGTTGTCTTAATCACTGAGAGGTGGTAATATGTTTCAGCGTTCTTCATCTCTGTTTAGATAACATTTACACTCAATTTGATCTTGATTGAACCTTTCCTTGAAATTTTACTGATCCCTCGTAATTACTTGAACGTGATCTTGCAAACGCTGACTCGATACTAATTACTTCTTTTTATTTTTAAAATGGATAAGGCAGTAGAATGGATTATATCAAAACGTTTGTAGATTTTCTCATAGACACGATTGATTTCATTTTCAGTATTTTGAATACTCCTTATGATTTCAATAATGAATAAATATTTACTTAGTAAAATAAATTCAATGGAATTTTTAAAGTATTGTTGAGCATAAAACAGGACATGAGTAGCAGAATGGCTCAATTTTACTCAGTATGATTTTTCTGCTTACGTTATATTTCCTTGGGTTAAATACTTAGTTAAAAATATTATTTCTAATTGTGGAATAAGTCAATTAAGATTAAAGACTCTGCTGATCATCTTCAAAAATATGAGGTAATTAATAGAACCGTTTATTCTGTTTTTCTTTTTACATTTTTGGTCATATATATTGGCTTTGAATAATAGTAATCCTTTCAATACGCCCATCTTAAACAATAACAATATAATCACAAGTGAAACAAATATATTCATTTATTAAAAAAATATTTCTTGAATAAAATCGCTTTATTTGGTCTTACTAAACTTTAAATTATGACGGACCTTTCAACCGCCTGATAAATATTCATACACGTTCTAAAATTAAAAAAAAAAATCTTTGATAAACGAATGATATCCTTGCTTTTGTATATAAACTCCGGCAACAAAATAAAGCCTTACATTTGCCTTGATAACGTCCCTCAGAGGAAGAAACGCGTCAGCTAAGAATAGTTTTACCTCTCGTTTTAAAAGTGTAGTCGAAATATACTGTAAAATGCGTTTTTTGTATTTGATTAAAGTATATGAAATTATTTTCTCATTACGCATTTGTTTTTTGGCATTTTCCTTTACAAGCAATTTCTTTTTCCTGATTTTGTTAATAAACTTTCGTACTGTTTTTATGATTCTCTTCATCGACGTGATTTCTCTTTATACTACATTTCATTTTTTTCTTTTCAACCGCTTTTTATTCTTCCTCTCGAATAATCCATACTCTTCCACTACCTCCTCCTACTCCACGTCTCCTCCACTTCTTCTTCTTTTTCTTCTTCTTCTTCTTCTTCTTCTTCTTCTTCTTCTTTTAATATTTCATGTTTTCTACATCCTGATTTTTAGGATTATTAGGTTTTACATGATAATCAATGTCCAAACAGAATCGAAAGCTTTGGATATATATATATATATATATATATATATATATATATATATATATATATATATATATATATATCGAGGAGAGAAAAGAGATTTTACGCCCGGAACCGGTACGTGGTGACCCTGCTTAGGCCATTCTTAAAAAAAAAAAGGCCGTGCGCTGGGCGGTGGTTAAGTAACTCGGCTAACCTAGAGATTCTAAGGAGGGTATTGGATATCGAAGCATCTCGGTAGCCAGATTAGTGTGCATGCACCAAAGCGGACTCAAACAGACCTGGATTTCGCCAGGCCGCTGCAAGTTTCGAACAAAACCCCCTCCTTTCCACTGAAACCGTTTACCCAGAGATGCATGCCTCTGGACAGGACCGCACAATCCGAGCACCACCTCAGCAATTCTGAGTGCGAGCTCTGTCTTTCCTCTCTTTTTCTTTCTTTTTCTCAAAAAGTTCTACTGCGACGAGTAAGGTTCGACGTGTGCCGGCATAGGATGACGCTGGCAGTCTTTTGCACGTTGGCGGCACAAGCAATTTGGCCCTTTATTTTCGCCCATGAGACTACGCATCGTCTTGTGTCTTACTTGTTCGACCAGGTGGATATTTTTCAAGGAGGTGAACCGCCTCCCTCACATGAGGAGGGACCTATAACAGGTGGCCTAAAAGATGCTGGTTCCAACTCAACTGGCCAGGAAGACGCACCTGGTTAGTAGTCACTTATCGCGATCGACGAAGAAAATTGAAATCTTTTGTTCATTTTACTTGTACTATATGAAACCTACTAGATTATAACCTGTCTGATTATATTAGACGACATCGAAGAACTGCGCTAATCGCATCTTAACTCAAGCGCTACAATGTAGATATCGCTGCACTCAGCGAAAGAAGATTCCTCGATGAAGATTCACTATCTGAGGAGAGCGAGAGATACACATACTTCTAGAAAGGTCTTCCCTCTAGAGAAAGTCTAGTCCACGGTGTTGTGCTTGCTGTTCGCTCAATACTTCCTTGTGTTCCGACTGGGCAAAGCGAAAGACTAATGGCCCTCAGAATTCCTCACTCCAATAATATCTACGCAACCATTTTCTGTGTGTATAATGCGGACGAAGAGATAAATGATGCCTTCTACGAATCTCTCAATACAGCCCTGCGAGTGGTACCTCGGACAGACAGAATAATCCTCCTTTTAGATTTTAATGCCCGAGTGGGCTCCAACACGTCAGTCTGGGCTGGTGTTATTGGCTCGCAGGTTATTGGGAAAATGAATGCTAACGGACTCCGTCTTCAAAGCTTCTGTGCCGAGCATCAGCTTGTGATTACCAATACCATTTTTCAACACTCGAATAAATACAAGTGCATCGACGCTCTCGGACGTGGCACCTGTTGGATTACGTAATCCTCCGTCAACGCGATCGAAAAGATGTGCTTCAACCTCGTGCCATGCGTGGAGAGGACTGCTGGGCCGATCATCGTATGATCCACTCTCGTATGAATCTCTCGCTTCGGTCTCCGGCCCAGAAAATAAAAAACACCCAATGTTGCCTGTCTTGCACAAGAATCAAAACGAGTCGAACTTCAAGCAAATTTACTCAATCAATATCTGTCAATCACTTTTAACTCCTACCACCGATGTTATTGATCAGCAAGTAATTGACAGGCTATGGGACTCCGCTAACCTAGGTATTCAGCAAAAAATATACACTCAGTGAAGCAGCCCAGATTGGTTCGATGAAGCCACTTCTGAAGGCATAGAATCAAGCACACGACGCTCATCTTGCACATCCAAGCTCTTGTACTCACGCCCAATACTGGCACTGGCTACGAGCAGAGATACAACGAAAGCTTCCAGAAGTTCAAAACAACTGATGCCTCCAAAAATCAACGTTTTACTGAAGAAAACAAAACGTACGTGTTTTATGATTCCATTAATCATATCTTCGGCCCTTTTCGCAATGCCGTAGCACCTGTTCTTTAGACGAACTTCAGACTCTTCGACTTGGATGAAGTTAACAACGCCATAAAATCCATAAGAAACATGAAGTCGCCCGATGATGACGGCATTCCAGGAGAGGTGTACAAGTATTGCGGACTGCAAATTCATCATATCTGCATTCCTATTTTGACCTGTGCTGGCCAAGCGGAATAATCCTCAAGCGCTGGAAACATGGGAATATCATAAGCATTTACAAGAAGAAATGAGATCGCTCTATCTGCGTCAACGGCTGAGGCATTTCCCTCCTAGATGTGTATTCTGCTTCAACTTCTTACCATCTTTCTGACTGGGAGAATTCTGCCGGAACCTCAATCTAGCTTTAAACCTGAACGTAGTACCGTCGACATGATATTCGTTGCTTGTCTACTACTCGAAAAAAAAGGAGGGGACACCAAAGAGAGATAAATTTTATTTTCGTTGACCTAAATAAAGCCTTTGATACGGTCAATAGGGAGACTCTGTGGCTTTTGCCTGATAAATTTGGCTCTCCGCCGACCTTTCTGAGCCTTCTACGCCATTTTCATGAGGATATGCTCGCTAGAGTATTCGTCGGGAGATCCTCATCAGAACACTTCAGCGTCCATACAGAGCTGTTTTCTTGCTCCCGTGCTCATTAACATCTATCTGATTGCAGCGACTCTTCTCTCTGGATTACATAGAGAAACTAACGACGGAATATATATATATATATATATATATATATATATATATATATATATATATATATATATATATATATAATCAAATAGATAAATATAAATAAATGTACGTTTAAGTAATCAAATACAAATACATATATATCCTTGGGTGTAAGAAAATAGTGCTCCCTGTTAAATAACAGAGCTATTAAGAATATAGTAATAAATATATATCTATAATACCCCACGCCGACAGCACAACTCGGAGTTTCCTATTCAGTGCAATTATCAAGTACTAATTTGAATTTACACTGTTTGGTTGACACCATTTGATTAATATTTCTGGGTGTCTCGAGATCTGTTGTTCTTTGCGTGAACTATTAATTAATACTCAAAAAATACTATTCATCGTAGAGTGCTCAATACAGAGTAGAGCAAATATAATTTATTCGAAAATTATAACATAAATATGTCATAAAATCACTACAAAAATAGCCATTTTGTTTCAACACTTCTGGAGTCTTATCAAGTAATGATGTAGAATGTAGAATTACGTTTCACTTTTATTACTTTAATCGTCAATGACCTAACGTGTCACGGATAGTCTAGTATATAATAGTGATATCAAAGTTAATATGAAGCTAAAACTGCTGGCAGTCAATGAGATATTGATAGAAAAGACATGCAAGCCAAGCAGTCCTTGCAAGAAATTGCTCGACATCAAAGGTAGAGCATTAATAGGATTAAAGGGAATAAACTTTTGTCACTTAGCTGATTAATGTTACCTTCAGTATCCCGAGCCCAGAGTTTCATAGGACCACCTGAACAGTGAACGGAAAGGTCTGCCTACGAAATTCTGATTTCGGGATGCTGAAGGTAACATCCGTCAGCAAAGTGACAAACTTTTACATATATATTGGGCTGTCGGCCGACCTTTCTGAGTCTTCTACGCCAATTTCATTTGCCGAGAGTATATATATAATATATATATATATATATATATATATATATATATATATATATGTAAACAATACATACAGACGTATGTATACACACATTCATCACTACAAATAGAAACATAATAAGTATACCTATGCACACTCATGTACATACACATATAGACACATATATATGTATATATACCTATATACACACACATACATACATACGCATATACATATATACACACACATTTAAATAAATATATCAACCTACATAGTAACATTAAAAAATAAAATAAATATATATATATATATATATACAAACATATGCATATATATATATATATATATATATATATATATATATATATATATGTATGTATGCGTTTATATATTTATATGTATATGTTTGCATATATGTATGTACGTATTTTTTACTTATTGTTATATATTTGTTCTCGTGTATGTGTACTCATGCGTATATAATGAGATATTTATATATATTTGTGTGTTTATGAGTTTTCTTTTTATATATTAGAGAGTGTTATTTTTAAGTGTTAAATTTGGCCTAGACATTTGAATTTGGTGTTTTCTTATGTGTACCTATGTATATATATATTTTTTCTGTCCATTTCTATATATTTTAGTATCTTTTTTTCTTTACGTTGTTCATTAACGAATATTTGTTTTTTTTTTATTCTACCCATATTAAAATTTATCAATTGAAACACTTTTATGCCCATGTAAGTCATATTTTAATGTTATGTTTGAATTCGTTTAACACTTTTAAATTTAAATATTTCTTGGTGTTTATATATGCGTGTTTTTATCAATGTATGTGTTTATAATCGCTTATATGTGCCTTTCATTGCTTTTATATATTGTCGGTTGTTTTTTTCTTTTAAATGTCGTGGACAGTTATTTCCTGTTTCGTTCGCTTTTTGTGTTTTTATATATCTAAATATGTCTCCGTTGATGTGTATTATAATCTGATTGTGTATATATTATCTTTTGCAAGATTTCAACCTCCCCTGCTCACATCATCACTTCCAACGTAACTAAGCTCTAACGAAGCTTAGCACTACATTAGATTTTAATGTTTATTCTAACTGAATTTTGGGCCTGTCAATAAAAACAAAATAAATAACAAAACATGTATTTTTCCTCAGTTTCTTCTTTAAATAATTTTATAATTTTTTAAACTTAATACAAATTAAATTTAAAGTTATTGGTAATTTTGAATTTTGAATTTTATAGTAAAATTTAATATTAATTAGTTGGAATGATTTCTATTTTAGTCTAACACTAACATTAAAGCATTAATTATTTTAACCAAGATACGTTGTCAAGTTTTTTGAATTCTCATTTACTTGTATTTTGATTGCTCATTGCAGCTTATGTAACAGCGTTTCCCCTAGGGAGGGGTGTTTGATTTGAAAATTTTAAACCCTTTATTCTACATTCAACACCATCACTTGATACGACATCAGAAATGTTGAAACAAAATGTCTATTTTTGTAGAGATTTTATAACATATTTATTTTATAATTTTCGAATAAATTAACTATTAGTCATTTAGATGATGAATGTACGTTCTAATCTCTTCTAGGAAGTTATTAAATTTTCCTTAAAGTAACGTTACAAGGCAAAGTTTTCTCAACGTTACAAGTTTATCAACCTATTAAAAAAGTTATTTACTTGGCTGGGTATACAGGGAAAGCCACCTAACAAATACTTCTTTACACTAAATTCAGAACAGCAATAAAAGAAGATATAAATTTTATCTTCTATCACTTGAAAATGTCAACACCAAATTGCTGGAGTCTTTGGAAGAGCTAACTAGAAAGGCATATTTTATTTTTTCGGTGTTTCTGCAAGGGATTTACTGACGTCTGCAACATTCCTCATCTATGCTTAATAGAGAACAGACGGTTCACTAAAGTACCTAAAAATGGTCAAGTGTTTCTGGAACCAGAAAGTATCTGGAAATCAGCCGAGTGTTTCTGGAACCAGTTTCCTGTCAGCCGCACACAATGAAATAATGAGTTTGCTTGCTGGGAAAAAAAGTTATCAACACTGAGAGACATGGTCATCATAAAAGTGGGAAAATTGTCTGAAACAAGATCTATGTTTCCCTCCAAAAGAATCATTTCAGCTATTTATAGATCTATCACAACGTGACAATAGAGAATATTGAAGATTTCAGAAGGCGATATAACAGCTCTGAATGGCTTGATCAATTTTAAATAAAAATATCACGGATAAAAAGTGTATTCACTCACAGTTAGGAGATTTAGATGACTCGAAAACTACCAACATGTTTTGAAACAAGAGGTTGATAAGTTTAGAATTTGAACATCGTCAAAGTTGATGGCGTCGTTAGCATTATACATACAGCAACTGCGTGGGTGTAAGAAATTGGGAAAATCTTGAGAGTGAACTAAGATAAATTTCGAAGGATCGCATGATCGGAATTGACCAGTCGAGTTGGATTATGGCTGGTATTGTGATGGGAGACGAAATAATTTCGCAGAAACCATCATAATTCAGGTTTGCAGCCGTCGCCAGCCAGTTGAAGAGTTGGACAGTGTCAGAGATTCAGTCACACGCCAGCCGCACACAGCCTTTGATAGCTGTCGGAAGATTTGTTATGAAAAGTCACTAGGAAGTTCCGTCAAAGAATAGTTGATAAAAGAAATTATCAGAAGTGGGATTCCACCGAATCGTAGCGGCTCCTGGAAGAACTCCTTTGAAAGACGGAAGTACAGGGAACCTACCAGAATAAGTTGTCCTCTGTTGTATAGCTAATGTTTTACTCCGCATC